TTGGGAAAACAAGGCTATGTGAAAATTCAATGGAAACGTCAGCTCAACTCATATCATTTGTGGGAAAATTCTACTACCAGTCCTTCATCACCTTAGACGAAATGATAGATTTTGTCACATAACAAAGAAAAGCTCATCGTAGAGGCAATAGGACAGCGAGCCAAGGGCTTTCGTGAAAAGTTACAACTCCAAGGCAATCCTGCTTTGTAATACATGCGAATAAAAGTTGGGTTTCGAGGAATCTCAGGTCTCATAATTGGTGAGCTTACCTCCATTTCGAGTGAAAGTGTTGGGCGAAGAGATTCGAAGGTCGGTTCCACCTTTTGACCGGAATCGCAGGAGCTTGCCTCTAAAACAGCGTCGGCATGAATGTTCCAGTAAAGCCAATTGACTGCTGGTCAAGAGGAATCCGTCGTCGTCTTCTGATGGAACCAACCTTCGAATCTCTTCACCCAACACTTTCACTCGAAATGGAAGTAAGCTCAACAATCCTGCTTCGGTCTCCAGTTAGTCCGATTCACGAATCCTCTGAATCCTCTTCCGAAAATAAAATGAAATTTACAGCACAAATAAGTAATTAGGCCTGCGCGTTTAATTATTAACAGGTGAATACGAATATCGAGGAGGATACTTTTCATTTCAGCCATGTTCATTAGTTAGAGGCCCTTCTGCGATTGCGATATGTTAATTTAAAGAATATTAAAGTTGTGAAGTGTCTTCATATGCTAATGGCTCATCTACAGGATCGAGTGACATCAGCCTAACTAATTTCCGGGTTATTCAAGCCTGATTGTTGAGCTTACTTCCATTTCGAGTGGAAGTGTAGCGTGAAGAGATTCGAAGGTCGGTTCCACCAGAAGACGACGGCCGATTCCTCTTGACCAGCTGTCGATTGACTTTACTCGAAGATTCATGCTGACGCTGTTTCCGAGGCAATCTCCTTCGATTCCGGTAAAAAGGTGCTAAGCTTTCGTATCATATGACGGACATTAACATCGTCACGAAAAAATTTAAGCTAACGAGTCATGACAACTCACCGGCAAATCCCTAAAAAGTGGTATATGTACTCTTCATCTTGCCTCTTTGATCAAGTATAAAGTGATTTGGTTAGTTAAGGTCATATGTCAACTCACATGCATAAAATTTGACATATGACCTTAACTAACCAAATCACTTTATACTTGATCAAAGAGGCCACTTTTTAGGGATTTGTCGGTGAGTCTTCTTGACTCGTTGGCTTGAATTTGGTTGTGACGATGATACCTTGCTCTAATGATGTTCGTCATATGACGGACGAAAGCTTA